TATATATATATATATATATATATATATAGAATTATTTGGGTGTGTATATATATATACACACCCAAATAATTCTATAGCATGATGTACTATATCTCTGTGCATGCACTGTACATCCCATATCTTGATTTTTACAAACAGTATACTCCTGTATAGGATGTATCTTTATTGCATACAGTATGTTGTTCAGATAGATCACATACACTTATGTAGAAACACTGTACTGTATGCATATACAACATACTATGTATGGATATATGATATACTAGTAATTCAGGGACCCTATTTTTGAAAATGTGAATCCTTAGAAATAGAGTAGGTTTTAGAGAGATTAACAACTCTCTCAGATTATTTTGAGCACCTTCAAACCTAGTGATATTCAAATACCAGTGGGCAAACCATGTCAAAATTGAGGGGGGTTAGTTGAGGTAGTCAGTCTGACTATGGGAATCTGGCCTTCCAATTGTCAAGCAGTTACTACACTCCCTGGAGAAACACTGATTGGCTGTGTCTCATTACTTCCAGAAAGTTTGTCTTTTGAACACAGTACTCCCAAAAATAGTCACGCACATTCGTTTGGTGTGGCCAGGGGTGGGGTTAGCACAGACACCCGGAGGAAAGGAAGATTCTTTTATTCTTTGAAACATTTTCCATTTAATTTTTAAATGTATACACTAGAAATTTTATTCTTTGAAATTCATGCATTTCATTGTCACTGGATACACGGTATAGGGGTCTGGAAAAGGAGATTTTTTTCAAAATTACTCTGAGTAACACTTTAAAACACTTACATGTAGTACATTACTTTTTTTTTTTTTTTTTTTTTTTTTTAAAAAACATCACCTGACCAGGTTTAAGAACGTATGGTTTACTCAAAATGTCAGCTGGCTTTTAGGAAAAAGATAAATGACTTTAGTGATTTTCTTTTATTGGTATTATCGTCGTCATCAACACACACTCACACTTCCCTCCCTCCCCCCCATCAAAGTATATTAGATTTAGACTTGAAAACAGGACCCCAATATGCGTATCCCAAATGTTGATTATTTTGGGTGAGCTGAGCAGTTTATAAAACTTTCTAGTAAGTTGCTTAAAGAGGAAAAGAGAGAAAATAAGATTAAGTTGCACATAATGACAACAGCATCCAGTACCTCAAATAGGGCTACAGGTTTCTAGAGCATAATTCAAAGAAATGAAGATTGAATACATCAATCAAGTTCTCTAACTATATAAATCCAAATTCTAATACAAATAATTAAACAGTTTCCTGAAAGAATAATTTAATCCATCTTATTTGAAAAGGCATAACATATCAGTAGCTACACTGATGGATACATCAGTGAAAAATATATACATATAACACGCATTCCCCCACAATTTCTTTATTTACTAATCTTTTTTTCCCTTTTTCTAGTATTATCCTTGAAAATAAAACCTTACATTAATATTTCACATGTATAATTAAAAATCATTTTGTTAGCTATAGACTAAAGTGCTGATGTGTATTTTCTAAAGGTAATAATTATAATTAGTGGGTTTTTCCATTTCCTATGGTCTAAAATGCTACAAAAGAATCAATTCTCCTACCAAACGTAAGGTATGGATTACACATAAGCTTTAAACTGGAGTGGATTTTTTCCAGCTAGCAAATGAATATTGATGTACAGAATGTGCTTAACTGGAAAAGTTCATTTTTGAATCAAAAGAACTATAAGCCAAAATTTCCATTTTTCGGTATTTACAGTTAGGCCTGAGGTACATATTTAAGTGCCTAAACAAAAGTGACTCCATTTTCATAAGCACTCAGCAAACTCTGCCAAAATCAGTGTAAACTGTAGATTCACAGCACTTTTGAAAATAAAGCCATTTATATTGAAGCATCTAAATATGAATCTAGGAGACTAATTTTGTAACTAAAGAGTCTAAATTTGAAAATTTTGGCCTATGTTTTTTGCTAACTCGCTTTTTCTTTAAACTTGTAAATAGCTGCTGATGCTGAAACAAAGCGGTCATGAAAATTCACACATATTTATGACTCTAGTCCAAACAAAATGAGGAGTTTGATATCTGTTCCACATGGTCTGCTAGGCTGTGCACTGCAATTGGTTGTATAAACACTACAGCACAATGCATAGAAACTTCCACTTCTAATGACTTTTAAAAAAAATTATATCACCTCTGAATGCCTCCTTTATGTGTAAATACAAACATCAGGCATGAGTAGAAACTACTTGGGATCATACAAAACTTTCAAAAATTGGGTTGCTCTTTTGGTACTTTTACATAGCAAAAGTAGGCTGAGAGCAACTGAAACCTTGCCTGCCAGAAATGCAGTCCAGCTCAGTAAGGCAGTGGGGTCAAATGAGCTCATGCATCACAGATATGCAATGCACAGTTCATTTCCTATTTATAGATAAAAACATTTAGGGTATATTAATGTAAACAGATTTCCGTTTGATTTTTTGGCAAACTGTTGCAAGATCAAGACTACAACGGAGTTTAAATGACTTTCGGCATGGTATAGTTAGACCAGATGGCCACGTGTTCTTTTCTTATTTAGATGAGAATTTTCCTTTCAATAACATCTTTCTTCCTGACCTGCTTTAAAATTCCAGCAAATGAAATCAGCACAGAATTTTCAATTCTAATTGACCATGTGCAGAGGAAGGGCCAGTAGAGAAATCAGTAGAGCCATTGTGAGGCACGCTGCATCAATCTCCCCTTTGTCTTGTATTCTTTCTAGCCAGAGCTGAAATAATTAAGAATATTTAATTTATATTAGTTATACAAAACTGCAATGCTAGAAGTGTTCAGGCAAAATCACTGCAAGTTCCTCTTTCTATTGGAAGCACAAGAAAAAAGTTCTGTTTCACTCTCCAGGCAAACAGGTTCTCTCCATTTATTCTTTGTCCAATATACAAAACCTAAACAAATGCTCATTACGTTAAGGGAAGGAACAAGTGAATTATGGAATGATGGATTTCTTTCCATCGTCTCTTGCAGTTGGAAGATGCAAGGGAGGTGGGGCTTTTCAAATGAAAAGAAAAATCTCAAATATTAAAATATTACCAGCAAATTATTATTTCAAACTACTTAAGTTTTTATAACTGCGCACACCAACCTAGTATCTAAAACATGTAATCGTTAGCAGCTTGTCTATGTGTGTTATATATACTCCCCTAAACTGAATTATAGATTGCAATGTAAACTGTGTCAAAATTATATCTTCTGTAGCTGGTGTGTGTGAGAGAATGTGTACGTACATACACACACAGACTATAGATAAAATTGACACGGATTGCGCCACATTTACAATTTCGTTTGGGTTTAGTAAGAAATTTACGATGGATAAACATTTATTGAGATTTAACAATTATTGTATTTAAGAAATACATAATAGATCAGAAATCTACAAATTCCCTTAATCTGCAGACAAGCTAAGCGGATAGGATGGACAATTTAGAAAGGGAGGAAAAATTGCCTGACTGAAACCAATACAGGGCCATATACAACAGTTAAAGAAATATCAAATATGGTAATAAATTGGTTATTGTTGTGACCACTAAATATAAAATTTCTGTATCGTTCAAGTCCTGGACTAGTATTATGCTCCAATTGATACCCAGAACTGTGAACCTAAATCAAGAGATTGTTCCCCATAAATCTCTGGTTTACTGATGGAAGTATGTTTACATGCCACTGTGAAATATCCTTCTTTTCTTCAATTGAAGAAAGTTTTATTAAAGCCTCAGTCATTCTTCAGGTGTAAGGTGAATGAGGAAAAGGGAAAAGACAGCAGAATGAAAATTACCAGGCTTTAAAAAAAAAAAAAACCATAATATCTATATATACACACCATTTAGGAATGTATCAGAAAGAATGAACAAAATAGTAGATGTGTCTGAAAACATCAAATAGGGCACAGACACTTTAGGGCCATTCCTGCATTTGCAGTCTCGTAATAAGAGCATGGTACTAAGAATCAAGAGATTTTGGTTCTAATGCCAGCTCTCTCAATGAGTTATGTAGCTGTGGACAATTCACTTAACCTCTGCCTCAGTTTCTAACAGTTAGGGTAATAATCACCTATCAACATCACAGAGGATTAATTGGTGCTTTGGACATGTAATTATTGTTGCAGGCCCTATGCTCAAATATCACAAAGAAGGGCATAAGAAGCACTGAACAGAATATGAAGGCAAAATTCCTGTTGACTTCCATGTTTATCTGCACCAGGTCTGTATGCTTGGGCCTAATAATTAAACATAAATGTACTTTCTTTAGCTGGAAAGGCAGAAAGTGTGTGCTTTTAGCTAGGTACAATACTCCATTTTCATTTAATTTACTTAAAACATTTCATCTGTTTGGTCATATAGTATTTTGCGTGCTGTTAGCAAAATATTATTAGTATTTAAGAAGATAAGTGAGAGAGTTTCATCTTCAGTTTAAAATATAGTCACGTAGGGCTGGATTGTGAAGCCTACTAATGTGGTGTAGTACCTTACTCTGCAAGTTGTCCCACTGATTTCATTTGCTTGACCTGAGAAGGTGCCAATCAAGGTGAGAAAGGGTGGCAGTCTCTGGTCCTCTTATTTTTACCTGTGATATTGATGCATTTAGGCCCTGATTCAGCAAGGTACTTAAGCACATGGCTAAATTTAAAGCGTACGAGTAGTCCATTGACTTCAGTAGGATCACTCCTGTGCTTAAAGTTCAGCACATGCTTAAAGACCTTGTAGAAACTGGTTCTACAAAACCCCTGTACTAGTTTGAACAGTTACATGTCCTTAACCTGATTCTGCTCTCTGTTATACTGAAGTAGGGTTGGATGAGTAAAGCTGAGAGAAGTATTTAGCCATTCTGTTTTCTATTTGGTAACAGATTTTGTTACTTAATTGATCTAAGTCACAAATTCATGGGTGTGCATTTCTAAAATCACAGCACAGTAAAGAATCCTGCAGAGCATGAGACTTAACAGTGGTTTCTTTCAGGCCGCCATTTTGTGGTGAAGTGAAATTGCTGTCTGAATCACATGCATAGAACTGGAAAAATTTTATTTTTGTCTATGTACAACTATGATGGTGCTCTGCACAAAATGAAGAAAACACTCATTCTCTCCATAGAGTGTTTGCATTAATCAATATTCATGCAGAATATGAAAGTACTTACACACATACTTTCAAATGTCTTGACAGCTCTGTTCAGGTTATAAAAACCCATTAGAAAATTGAAACTGTAGCAGGTCTGTGTCCATCTCTCCTCTGCTTCTTAGAATGGGCGGGGTGATGAGAAAGAAGCGTGAGGTGAAATATCCTGTGTGGAACTTCAGACTCATGCAACGCACAGGATTAAAAGAGGAAGTAAGCAAAATGTGTAGGCTATGAGCTATTGCTGGGATGTGTTTCACCAGCCTACTTTTACTGTCAAGGCACCAGACTGTATTAGCAGTTTATCCACTCCCCTAAGCTGTAGGATGTGGCTAATGGGATTGGATAAAATGATTAAAATCATTTTGTCTCATGATTTCATATCATAAAAGCAATATGTGCAAAACTGAAATATTTAATTGTATGATGAAAGCACAAGCACCACTTTTTGTTTTACCTTTAATTTTTTTCAACATGTAGCACTATTTCCTTCTGTACCTTTAAAAAAAATAGTCAGCATGCAGTCTTCTAGCTGAAATCAATTTATTTTAACCAGGAAAATAAGCTTGAAACTAATTTTTTTTGCATGAGATGTGTGAAGCCTTTGTTTAAAATGTCTTCAAAAGAAGAATGCAGTTAAATTATTTGCAGGGTTGTATGATTGTTATTTAAGAAATCTGGTGATTTTCCAGGATATGTTGTCCATATGCTGAGGCTTAACTTCAACTTTCAAGTATTATTTGTAGATCATTTTAAATTATTTTTTCCAGAAGGATAATTTGCAAAGGGGAGCATTTAAAAGAGAAGTATAGTGCATGACAAGAGTAAGGGAGAAGATAAGCAGTTCCCAAAGTTTATCCAAAGACATAAGGGTTAAAATTTCAGCTCTTCATAGAAGTGGGAAAAAATGGAAGTTAAAAAAAAAAAAAAGTGAAGCTGCTGGTGACTTGAGTGTATTTATGGATTACTATGTCTTGAAAAGAAGAAAACCAGAGTTGTAAGATGACACTGCAGGGGTTGTCTGGACTTTTCACTGAGTGTGAAGTCTGTTTAGTCAATGCCTTAATGCCGAATACTGACCTTTGACCTCTTCACTCCCCCCTGCTCCAGGTGCAACATTTTTGCAAGTGCTTTAAACTTTATTGGAAAGTTTGTGCAGGTTTCACACACACTGCAAAGTGCACAGGGTATTTTACACAACATCAGCAGAAACATATGACATCAAGGCTTAGCTTTTTTATTATTTATTTAGAACACACAGACTTGTTTTGTGTGTTCCTCCCCTCATCCCCCCTATTAAATTATTAATTTAATAATTACCACATTAAATTAATAAAGAGCAAAATCATATTTGAAAGAATTCTCCTTCTTGTGTGTCTCAAACTATACCTCTAAATAGCCAAATACAAGATTAAAACTAATTGGTATGGCACATTAGCCAGTATGGTAAATTATAGACAGGCTATGCAACATAGAGCAGCAACATTATTGATCTCTTAAATTAATTGTCTTTGCTATGGAAATGTAAAACACAAAAACAAGAGGAGCACTTTGGCTAACTGATGTTCTCAGAAACAAATCGATTTCTTATACTATTAATTAGACCTTGGCTGATATAAATATTGAGAAAAACTAGTAATAAAGGGAGCCATACTACATCAAGTCTATAATTCAGGTTTAGATTTTAAAAAAATAACTGAATGAACTTCTTCTGGTGTATCTTCAATAAATGACATTATAAACTAAATATGCCATGTGTTATACATAATGCATATATATTACATACACCATATAACATTTCATTTATGTGTGTACCCTAGAGGTTTGATAAATAGTTACTGAAATTGCCTGTTTGCTAAATTAGGCTACAAGTGTCACCATTTTTCACACAAGATGTAAAAATGGTATCCTAACCTATGCATCCATTATAGATTCTATGGTACTTTCTGTAAGAGCAGGGATTTTTTTTCAGCTACTTTGGTTAAATTCAATCTCCAGGGAAGCTTTTTTTCCCCATTTGTGTCCTACTAAGAGATTGCAACTATTTTGTTCAGGTGTGGACCTGGCTACAATGATTTCACCTTGTGATGAGATTGCTGAAATGCACTCTACATTGGCACAGGAATTTAAAAATCAAGATGGAAACTTAAGTTGGTGACAGCCGGTTTGGTAAGGGGCAGCTGTACATGCTATTTCTGGGAGAATTTAAAAGTTGACCTAGAAAGCTTTAAATGGCTTTGTGTCAGCCAATCCAAGAGACCTCCTCTCTCCCCATGCCATACTGCCACAGTTGCACTGAGCAGAGGGGTTTGATTTAGAAGAGTGGGTGAATGGTAATGCCCTCTCTGCCAGGGTCCTTACTTTTAGGAACCAGGGCCGGCTCCAGGTACCAGCTTAACAAGCAGGTTCTTGGGGCGGCCAAGGGAGAGGGGCGGCACCTGCGGCAATTCGGGGACAGCAGGTCCCTCACTCCCTCTAGGAGCGAAGGACCTGCCGTTGAACTGCCGCTGCCGATCGTGGCCTTCCTCCCCCTCTCCCCCCCAATTGCCGCTGCCGATCCGATCGTGGCTTTTTTTTTTTTGCTTGGGGCGGCAGAAATGCTGGAGCCGGCCCTGGTAGGAATACACTGCCACCATTGAAATTCAAAATAGACCAGGATTGCTGAGCCTCAGGGTATGCTCCAAGACTGGTGTCCACTCTAATACTTGGGTAGGATGAGTCTGAAGAAGGTTTAAAGTTCAGTTTTTTGAGGGGAGATTTTTGGCTGGGGGTTGAATTTCATATTGGGTTAAAGATTTTAGCTGGACTGTTTTTTCTAAATATGTCAAAGCCACCTAGGGTAATATAGGCACCTATTTTAATATTTTGTACCCTTTAATATACATTTAAATATATAATTAGCTTTTTCCATCTACATTATCATTGTAGTTTCAATTGGATGCAGGTTTCCTGCCCTACACTGTTGCATGGTGATGGGTGTGCTGCAGCAGTCATATTCCACCCCAGGGGTGGCTGCATTCACTGGTGGGTGACATGGTTGAGTTCAAGGTTCTTTGGAACTAGTATTCTAGTGCAGCCTATTTTTGAAGAAGGCTCAAGTCACAAAGGTTCCCAAAGCTCTAGGAAAGGTTTAAAGCCAGTTTTCTGTTTTGGTCTCATCTCCATGTGTAATGTACAGACTGCAAAAAAGTGTCAGAAAAATATGGAAACTAAGGTCTTGAATGTTATGTTCAAAATCTCTTTCCAAACCTAGGCAGTGGCTTTTTTTCCCAAACACAGAGTGTGTTCTTGTTAACAACGCAGCTGTTAACATGTCATCAATACTCTTTGTTTGAGAATACATTAAAATGAAGAAACAGATTTTTAAAGTGACTTTAAATGTAAACATGGTACTATACTATGGAACTGGAATTGGTTTCTTCCAAAACTATTCCTTTTCCCTCCTGAAATGACATTCATTGTTTTCAAGACCAAGATTTAGTGCAGGTACTCAATTTTACTGAAGGTCAAATACACTTGTCAAAATTATATTTTTTGCACAGCTGAGAATTCAAATAATTTTGTGGACCAAAAATGGACAGATCTTGTCTTTGTGATAGAAATACGTAGCAGTGTAGAGCGGATATTGGAATAAAATAGAATGAAGGAGTATTATACACTACGTTCATGTAACATCATAGTGAGACGATCACCAATTTTTGTTTTGCTGTATCTGAGGAGAAATACCCACCCAGACACTAGATTTTTGTCATTGTGGAATTTTTTGTACCAATAAGCACTTGCACATAAGTTTTATTTTGGCTTTACATCCTAGATGTCTCAATTATACTTGCAACAAATATTCCTGCAATTAGCATTTGTAAGTATGTTATCACCTCTCTCCTATATGAGATGGATATGCCTAGGATACTTTCCAGGATGGGTTCTGTCTCTCACGTGTCACTTATCACCATGGTATCAGAGAGCCTTCCCTGTTAAATTGGCAATGGTTTTGAAAAGGCTAGTTGACCCTACTCATAATGGAAAACAAATCTCTACACAGCCTGAACCAACCTGGGGAGCAAAGAGCACCAAGCTAAATTTAGTTAG